GGACAGCCTTCATAGTATGTTCCATATCAAGGAAAGAAGGTGGGCGCGTTTTTACATCTTCATGTTCCAGGTCTTTACCCACTCTATGCCCTCTTTTATGGTTTTCATTGGCATTTCCAGACGATGATTTTTGGAGTTGGAAATAGCACATTTCCTTGGATTACTATGGAACTGTGTGTGGCTGTTCATCGAATCAAATATGTCATTCAGCCTATCTAGGAACGCCGCAGTCTGTTTAGCTTCTGGGGCAGTTGAGAAGTGGCAACAGCTGTCATTATTGCCGAACTAACGGTATGGCTGAATACTTGCGTCTCAAGGCCAAGAGTTTTGACATGCGCATGCGCCGTAGAGGTGAAGGTTCTTCGCCCCCGCCAAAACTGTTTCGCGCGTTATCCTATTGCGATTTTTTTTCTCAAAATTAAATTTAAATAAATATATACCTTTGCAAAAATATTATAAGATACAACATTTTGAAACGACAAAATATATCTGGCTTGATAAAAGGTTTAATGTTAGCGTACATGTTTCTACATTCAATAAATATACAAACATCCCTGTGTGTTCTTTATGGCCATCAAGTATCGTCCTTGAAGGCAGTTTTTAATTACTGTTCCAGTATTATTTTTACTATTCGTATTTTACGAACTGTGTGCTAATAGCGGGTTTCGATTGTTATAAACTAGAAAGACTGAAAGAGTCACTATTGAACCATTATCAAAAGATAGAGCCAAAAGAAGAAAATCAGATTTTGATTTATCTGGTTGAGACTCAGCAGAACTCACCATTACAAATTGTATATACTTGTATGATCTTATATTATTCAAATAGTTTTTCGAAATTGTGTTTGTTTCTTTTACATTGGATGTAGCGATACATCTCATACTCATGCTTATACATAAAGAGAAAACAGACTTACAACTGTGTATTAAATATACAGGGTGAATTTTAAATGAGTTCCCCCCCTACTTTTCTTACTTGACTTTTCTACTGACTTTTCTACATTTCTTAAGATATCATCTCCTTACCACGTCAGATCATTGTTGAGTAGTAAGTACTTCATTTTGACTGGGTATACATTTTTGGCCGCCATCTTGGATCCACCATATTGGATACAAAGTTTTTTTTTTCAAATGTAAAGGTAGGGTTGTGACCCATTATTTCCAACTAGAATTGTACGCTGATTACAATGCCGCAATTAGTTTTTAAAAATCTTGATCCGTTCTTAAGTTATGAGGAATTTTTATAACTTTATTTTTAGCACATTTTAACATTGTGCATTTACAAACTAAGACTATAATCTCAAAATAGTGCTAGATAAAGATAAGTATACACCACCATTCATTGTCGACTTATTTTCACTTGGTTATGACAGATGTAGTTTTTTGAGCCGCCATCTTGAATCCGCCATTTTGAAATGTGATCAATTAATTTAACACGTTCGCTACCACAATTATATGGAATTTACGTTCGCATAGACCAGCGACGCAATTGTGCGTCGACTCGTTTCTCACAATAGACCACCGACGCATATTTGCGTCAGCTGGTCACATTGAAATGGACTAACGACGCACATTTGCGTCGGTATTCTAATGTTATTAAACAGCGTATTTCTTAGCAACGGTCTATTTTAGAGCCCGGATTTTATCATATCGGTCTAGAGGGATATCTGCCGCAAATGTGCGTCGCTTGGTCCGTGGATATGACGATTGGTTACGTCACACAACAGTTGGCAACATTGTTGTTTACATTGTGTATTCCGCGACATCACAGAACAGATGTAAACGTTATAACCTTTGCAGTTTTGACTAGTGTTTAGTGGAGTTTCTTTAGTTGTTTATGTAAAAGCTTGAAACAACCAAATTTACAATGACGCTTACGTGCGTCGCCTGGTCTATTGAAACGAAAATGTAATCTTTTTAACTGGATTTCGTTAAATAGACTGACCAACGCATATATGCGGCGTTTTAAAATTCGCTCATAACGAAAAATAAAAACAATATTTATTGCTTACTAATTCACTTAAGGTTATTATGAAGTCAATTAGTCCATTTAAACGATATTTCTCTTTTGGTCTGTCAGCAATGTTATTCCTATATCACTTGGTCTGTAAGCAACGTCATGATGATTCCTTTTAGTCTGTAAGAGTGACCGGACCGACGCAAATGTGCGTCGCTCGGTAGCGAACGTGTTAAATATGAAGGTGGTGTTGTGACCCATCATTTTGATCTAATTTTTTATGCTGAACTCAATGCCGCAATCCGTTTTTCATTTGCATCTTTGGACTTTGAAATATTGAAATTTTAAATAAGAGTATTTTAATATTTCATCAAGAAAGCTTGATAACCAAAAATGGATTGCGGCATTGAGTCCAGTATAAAAAAGTAGTTCAAAATGATTGGTCACAACACCACCTTCATATTTAAATAAATTGATCACATTTAAAAGTGGCGGATCCAAGATGGCGGCTGAAAAAACTTCATCCGTCATAACCAAGTGAAAATATGTCGACAATGAATGGTGGTGTATACTTATCTTTATCTAGCACTATTTTGAGATTATGGTTTTAGTTTGTTAATGCACAATGTTAAAATGGGCTAAAAATAAAGTTATAAAAATTCCTCATAACTTTAGAACGGATCAAGATTTTTAAAAACTAATTGCGGCATTGTAATCAGCGTACAATTCTAGTTGGAAATAATGGGTCACAACCCTACCTTTACATTTGAAAAAAAAACTTTGTATCCAATATGGCGGATCCAAGATGGCGGCCAAAAATGAATACCCAGTCAAAATGAAGTACTTACTACTCAACAATGATCTGACGTGGTCCGGAGATGATATCTTAATAAATGTAGAAAAAAGTAGGGGGGGAACTCATTTAAAATTCACCCTGTATAGGTAGTTGATAAGATTTTCCAAGAGCTCAGAATGTTGATAAGGAGCTAATTTAACATTCCCTTGGGACAACATGAGGACAATGTATTTGTGCCCCTGTTAGTCTGTTCTGTCTCGAAATTCATAGATTTGCAGTAGGCCTATTGACAAAGGACAAATCCAATTAAACGATCGCAATTCAAAAGTCAGTGTTTTTGTAGGTAGGCTACTCCCAGAGCACATTTAACACCATCACTGTTCTTTACTTTTTTAATTCAATGGTTCTGTTATAAATGTTATAACAAATATCTCACATCTGACAAATGGTTTATACTTATAACTAATGTCATATTCTTCAATAAGAATTGTAATGACTCGCCCTTTGAAGGGCGTTTGAAAAACTTATATACTGCACTAAGGAAATTCGGCAAATCTGCGCTTTATTCCCTTTAATTTGACATATAAATCTTGCATATCGGTCCATTAGTCACTGAGAAAACAGACTTACAACTGTGTATTAAATATATAGATGTCCTATAAAAGTTTTTGTCATTTTAAAAGTACACACTAATTTCAGTATTTATTCTATTAATACAGTTGAGCTTATATTGGTAAATAAATTTAATTTTATCATTATTCTATTTACATCAAAACGGTTCTTCCTTAGTTTTTATAATAATGTATATAAACTACTTGGGAATTACATAGTGTAAAACTATAACCAATTAATTGTATTCTTAAAGAGGTAAGTTTAGCAGATATGCGATCGAGCGACCACAATGCTTGGGCTCGGAGACACCGGCGGCGCGTTGCAAAGATAAGCAGAGCGCATTCGCCGGGCCGTCTGTGGCTGGCAGTACGGAGAGAGGAGAGGCAGTGGTTGTGGGGGAAGGGTTGTGGGGGGAGGTATACGCACGGGCACGTCGATTACGTCATGCCACTACGTGTGCGCGCGCAGCACTGGAGGTGGAGCCGGATCGAGTTTCAAGCCACGGCCGCTAGGAGCGACACTGCATGGAGGGTTTACTCTACTAGTTCGGCTGAAATCGTTGGCGATGGATTTTAGTACACGATAAGATGTCTAGTGTAGAGATATAAAGTCAATGGTAATACTATAGAATACTGTAAATTTAAAAAAGCAAATTTTATCAAACTGTGTCCTCCCTTATTGCAAACGCAAAGCTTGACTATAACTGCAATAAGCATTTTATACTTATATTCCAACCCCGTAAGAAGGACGGGTACTCTGCTAGTTTAAAATATTTCAAAACTCTTCTTCATTTCCATAATCCACAACTGAAGGCAGATGAGATAATAATCAAACTAAAATCAGGTGATTCCATAAAATATTCTACAAATACTAAATTCCTGGGTGTAAACATAAGAAAATCTAAAATGGTCTGATCATAAAATACAAATTAGCTCATCTCTGTCAAAAACATTATTTGGTCTTAGGGCAGTTTTTAAGTCTTCAGGTTTCCATGCAGCTCTTGCTGTGTATCATTTTTATTTTATGTCTAGGACTTCCTATGGTATTATTTCATGGGACAGCTCCTCCAATACCAAGAATATTTTTATCTTACAAAAATTGCCGTTAGAATTTCAGCTGATACCAGACCATGTTACTCTTGCCACCCCTTTTTGTTCAGATGAAACTCTTGAAAATTTATGCAGTTTATATTTTTAAACTGTGCATCTTTGTAAAAAAAAAAATTATAAGGAATTTATGTTGATAAATCACACTCATCAATGTAACACCCGGCACAGAAATTATCTTCAACATCCTGTGCATAGAACAGCTCTGTATGAAGGATGGTACGCCATGGTACATGGGTAGGAAAATTTACAATAACCTCCCAGAACAAATTAAAACTGAAGAAAATATGTTATCTTTTATAAGAAAATTAAAATCTTATATCATCCTCTTTGTGTCCTTATTCCCTAGACGATTTTATAAACATTTAGTTTTAATTTTAGGTTTTATGTATTGATAAAAAACAAAGAAATTAAGCATAAGGTATTATTAGTTAGTAAAGTAGTATTGACATGTCATATGTTTATACATGAAAATCACAATCTTGTAAACTTTATATGACAAATAAACATTTAATTTCATTTCATTACAGCCTTTTCGTTCAAAATACAGTCGAGGATTTGTCTGCTTCCCATGGCTTGTTAGTGATATTCTAAGTTGTGTAAAGAGGTCTTTAGAATATGTGGAAACTACCTGTGATATAAGTGGCTGTGACAGATACATTAGGTGAGTCTATAAAACAATTTGTTAATATTTATTGTATTAAAATGTACGATTGTAAATATGGTGAAAAACTCACTAAGAAGAAGAAATTTTAATCCTGATTTTCTCTTTATTTTTAACCATAAAACATGTTATTTCGGTTTTTGTACTTACTTATAAGACACCCTGTTTGTATCGCCTATTGAAGAATGCATTAATGTATTTCATTTGTTAGTCATTTGCATCTTGTTCTATAGCAAAGACCAATATTAATTTGTCTTTTACTTGAGAGTTCAACTGTTTTATTATGTGTTGTGTGTGTAGTGTATAAACATTGTTTTGATGTACAAGTAGTTATGGTGGAGTAAATGCCTAATAGTAGCATCCAGGATTTTGTTGAAGGAGTTAGAGTTTGGATCATTAGTGTGCCAACAAAATCTGAAGACTTGGAATAGATTGTGCTCCTCTAAAAGTGTTTGATTAGATTCCTCTTGAAAAGCCTATAGTGTACATGAAAAATCCATAATTTATATATGTTATTGAATATAATTGATGCTGAATTTGTAGGCTTAAGAAATCAGTTGAAGATGCCAGTTGGAAGTTTAATTTGGTGAGGGCAAAGGGCTGCAAAGACTTAGTAAGTTTAAACAAGAGCAAGACTGAAGAGCAATGGGTGTATGTGGAGGACGACAGTTCAGACTCGGATACATCTCCTCCCCCTGTCCCTCTCCCCTCATCCTCAACTCGGAGGTCCAGGAGAGGAGGGAGCACATCCAGGAGTGAGTCTGGGAGTAATGCCACTGGTGAGTTAGTACAAGGTACAAGAAAGAATTATCATAGTCTGGCAACTTTTAATAGTTTTGAAAAAAATGCATGCATTGCCGAGGATAATGATAACGTTTCCATGAGCGGGGATGACAATTTTAATGTCAAGAAGATTGCAGGAGATATTCAGGATTTCACCACTATTGGAGATTATATTGGGTTATCATTAATTCAACTGATTTAACTCAGGAGAGTACTGTTCCTTGTTTTTTTTATTGCTTGATTATTTCTTGTTCTTTTTGGAAGGTTTAAGTGGGCAAGCTTGATTTAAACACTGGTCATTTTAGTAAAGAATAAGTCTTCAGCAGATAAGTTGTTTTGACACAACAGATTAACCAGCCAACATTGTAAACAAGTTCTAAGAAGTTGTCCTATCATCGTAGGGAAAGATTGTGGAAAATAAAGCTTTTAGGGTTATCATAGTAAAACAATGATTGAAGCTGTATGATGGACTTCAAACCGGCTGTGTTCAGCAATATCAAGAGGCACAACCCTTGAGAGTCTTGCAGAGTTCTTCAGAGATATTTTGATATTTGTAAATGTGTTATCCAAACAAGAATTCAAATGTCCAAGAATTCAAATTTGGGTATATTGCTGAGAAATTTAGAGTTAAATTTGTTTTATAGTATTTAACAGCATTTTAACCGTGGGTTTGTCTCTTGTTATGTCAAACGAGTTATGACCACCCCCAATCACAATGTAGGTTCGTCGTTTCTTGAAGTGACTAAGATGGATTAGCAATAGTTCTAAGTCATTTGAGAACGAGATTTCGTTTCCTGCTGGAGAATGGTAGATACTTGCAAATATTATTTTAGGGTTTTCTTTCATGGAAGCAGAACATTCAAAGCTAATTTCTCACAGTGCACAGCCAGTCTATATCCAGTACTCTGTGTATAGTATTATTGTTGTTTGAAACTAATATTCCAACACAGTTCCTACCGTATTCCAACAATTGTGTAACCTTCAAATTGCAAGCATCTAACCTCTTCTTTGTGTAGCCTATGTTCACTTACACATAAGATATCATATTTGTGCTCTTGGCCTTTGTAGGCTCAACATATTTTCTTTGTCCCTTAGTCCCTCAAGATAAATGAACAATAACTTGAGCATATTTACTTCTTCAACTGAGTTACTCTGGGTCTGAAAAGTGCTGTTAACATTTATACTCGTTGATTGGCTCAGACATTTATTAACTACTTTTTGTTTGAGCTCCTGGTTTCATCCATAAAAAATCTCTAGATTTTTCAGAGGGCTCGTGTTTACTATTAGAGGATTTTATAATCCCTAAATATCAGTTATTCATCTTTGATTCTACTTCTTGCTTTCATTTTCAAGATGGGATATAACTTTCTGCAAATAATTGATCTGCCTCATTTCAGGGGTGCTAAATCCTGACAAAGGTACAATGTTACTTAACTTAGATGGAGAGTTAAGTTCACATTGGCTGTCACAGAGTACCTGCTGATGGAGTTGGAGGAACGACCATCCCTACCCTAGGAAAGGTTGAGTTGTTTCTTGGGTCTTTGGGGTATCTGTTTGATTCTCACTCAGTGTTGAAGATGTGGGCGGCAGCAATGTATGATGGCCATTAACATGTACACTTGTCTTAATGTATGTTATAATATTACATATGACAATTAATGTATGCTATAATTTTAATGTATTGCTAAATGTATGCTTGTCTTACATTTTATAACAATTTTAGATTACTCATAGCTAAACTTAAAACTTACATGTGGTTTATAATTAATTCTTCTGTTTTAGGCTTGCGGTTATCCTCAAGCACAAGTAGTATTAGAAGTAAGAAGTGTTCTGCATTGTTCTCAACTTCCAGTGACATAATAAACCTCATGCTTGCTCCTCCAGATAGCCTTGTTGCTTATTTTATCATCAAAGAAAATTTGGAGAAGGCTTCAAAATGTGTTGAGGTAAAATATCTAACTCCCCCATATTTTGGTTTTGTTAAAGTTTGTCCGCTTGTGGGTTTTTAAGAAAAATATAGTCAGAAGAAATTTATAACCCTTACAGTTATTATACAATTATTTTTCATGTTACAGAAATTTTCCATGCAAAACCAGCCAATGGATATAGAATTGAACTTTTTAAAAGAATTTTCATCACTCAGAAAACAATTGGCTGAACTACAAGTAAAACCTTTGAGTTCATCATCCTCCGTAAAAGACATTGCCCTGCAGGTAAGCTTAGTTTGATGGAGTTAAAATAAGTTTAATTTAAATATGATTATCTTATTATTGCTTAAGCTCATTGAGAATGGGCCTTATGCAAAATTTGTAACCTAGTGACACAATAAAATCTGAACATGTTTTAGCCTACCAAGGTCATTTTGACAAACACTGGAGAGGCCTTCAAAGAAACAAATTTCCATTCGGTAATGCCTACATGATTTAAAACTAACTTTAAATTTGTACATTTAGGCTTATGGGTTGACTTGATGGTTACGAAATAACAACGCAAAGTTAAACAAAGAACCATAGCATATATTCATAAACAAACCGATCCATTTCTATACTCCCAAAATATAGCTGCACACAACAATTTTGTACACAGGTTATTGAAAGTACCACTGAACACAAAGGATTAGAGAGAGGAATTAAATATCATTAAATACATAGCTGTACAAAATTGATTGAAAAGTAATATAATAGGCAAACTCTGAAGTACCATGTGGGGAGCGCAAAAAGCCCATCAGTGGCTGACGTGCAACAGGACAAGTCCGCCCCTACAGAATCAATCAATCAATCAATCAATAGGCAAACTGGTAGTTAATTATCTGAATAAAGATCAAAATAAAACAAAATTAGGGATGGACGGGATTGAATTTTAAGTTCCGGACAGGATTTTTATTTCCTTCCCCGATTTTCGGGACGGGATGAGATTTTTTCCTGTGCAAATAAAGGGTTTGCAGGGTGTATACCAACCGGAAAAACCGGGAGAACCGGCAGTGGCGGATTTACCTACGGCGCCGCCCTTAGGCCCGTTCGGCCGGCTGCCCCTTTGCGTTCCGCGATTGAGGAAAGGTTTCAGCGTAAAAGCAATATTAAACTTCCCGTTGTTGGCATGCTTATTAATGCATTTTCCTGGAAAACATAGTCACATAGTCAATACATGAGTAGGGCCTACTTTATATTAAAGTTGTATTACTTGGTTTTAAGAAAAACATATATTTAGTTGTTGAGTCAAGAATAAAATATGAATATGAATAGCCTAAATTAATCGCCGAACGCATTGCCGTTCTTGACTAAATTCAATTCAAATGTTTTCAGCTTAAATTGGTTTTGTTTTGTTTTTTTATAATTTCTATGAAATTATTAATACATATATATATTTGAATTTAGGTGTTAACGTAATAGGGCTGCTGATAATATATTAAATTATGGTAGTAAAAGTACAACAGAGAACCCTAAAAATTATATTTCTAGTAGATATATATATTCCAGTTAGCTATAGATATATATACAGGGTCTTTTTAAAAGAATGCTGGGATTTTAAATGATAATTGCTTGGGTAATATTCAAGGCAACTAAACGTTTTATACGTAATATTGAAACCATAAAATAACTAAGTTTTGTTTCTCCTGTAGCAAGGGAGGAAATTTTGACCTTGACATGCGCAAAACAGGTGCGCGGTGGTAGGCCAATATTGTGACCCATACGCCAGTCGCTAGTATGACGTTTACGGCACAACAGAAGATACAAATTGTAATCTGAGGTTCGCATGGTTTATATTCATTGCTAAATTAAACTAAATTAAATCTACTTGATGATAAAAAAAATCGAAGCTGGTTTGATGGTTTAATCTTTTAAAAACACCCTGCATATTAATTTAATGTAATAATATCATGCATCTTATAGGCCTACTCATACTAATGATAATGATAATAAAGCACTTAAGAACTATATTTAATGTTATATCATTGACTATTGGGTTGTATTAATAGTCAAAGGTTATATACCTATTACGAAATATTCATACCTTAATTTTCCCATTTTTGGCGAAGAAGATTCAAAATAAGACAGGTCACAAGGTTTTTTAAGCTTGATTTATTATTACTCTTGATATCTTGTATTAATACTTTTTTTAATACGAACAGGTAAAATTCGTTTAAACTCCTATTTTTATGTAACAGAATACTGAAACGCAATCTAAATGAAAAAAGTGAACAATTAGTCACTTATAATTATGATGTTCTTTGTATCTGAAATATACAGTATTAGGCCTAGTATTTTTAATTGTTTAAAGGGATTGCTTCAAAAACCAAACTGTTAACAAATTATGAATGTGAAAGCATGTTCTTACATATTTTCACATCTACATCAAACGTTTACGTCTTGCTTTCATTACAGAAAACTCTTCTATCAACTGTTCAAATGCAAAGTCTTCACAATTAATGATCTCGGCTTCAATATTAAGAATAGCTAGGGAATTTAACTTGTTTTCCTTTAGGGTAGAATGCAGATAAGACTTGATCCTCTTTAATGAAGAAAATGATCTTTCTGCAGAACAGTTGCTAACTGCAGTAGACAAATACATCCTAGAGAGCTATATCCACATTAGGAAATGTATCCTCCAATTTTTCTTCTCTGAGGAACTTGCTCATTGAGAGAGGTGTGCATGTGACGTTATTGCACTTTATCAATTTAGAAAAATGCACACACTCACTCCCAAATGATGACTCTAGGTCGGTATCGTAAATGTTTTGGAGTTTTGTTGCTTTTTCTAAAATTACTGATGGTTGTGTATCTGAAAGTGATGTGAGTCATCTTTACCGATCGATAATCACCTGGCGCCCGCCGCCACGCACGCCGCCCGTAGTCGCGCCGCCCGTCACTTTACCCGCTGCCTGCCGCGGCCAGGCGCCCCTCAACGGCTGGCGCCCCTAGGCACGTGCCTAGTATGCCTTATGGTAAATCCGCCACTGAGAACCGGGAAATAACCTTGAATTTGAAGGGACCTGGAAAAAACCGGGAAAAAGCCGGGATTTTTGGACCGATTACGGGATTTTTATTTTAGCCCCGGTAGAAGATTGTAGTCGTAAAATGTGTCTTGCCACGATTGCGGGCGACGACGATGACGTTTTTGTGACCGTGGGAGACAACGATGACGTTTACGTGACCGCGGGATCAACGATGATGTATACACTGCCGCGGGAAATATTCATTATTTTGCCGAGATCGCAGACGACAACGATGACGTTTCCGTGACTGCGGGAGACGACGATGATTATGTCTACACGGCCGCAGATGCTTATGATTTTGCCGAGATCGCGGACGACGGCGCTGACGTTTCCATAACTGCGAGAGGCAATGATCATGTCTACACGGCCGCGGAAGATTTTCGTGATTTGCCATGACCGCGAAAGACGACGATGATGATTTCTACACGGCCGCGTGATATGCTCATGATTTTGCCGTGATTGCTGCCGACGACGATGACGTTTCAGTGACCGCGGGAAATGACGATGACGTTTCCGTGACCGCGAGATCAACGATGATGTTTACACCGTCGCGGGAAATATTCATTCTTTTGCCGAGATCGTGGACGACGACGATGACGTTTCCGTGGCCAGCGAGAGACGGCGATGATTTAGACACGGCCGCGGGAAATATTCATGATTTTGCCGAGATCGCGGACGACGACGATGACGTTTTCGTGACCGCGGGAGACGACGATGACGTTTCCGTTACCGCGGGAGACGACGATGACGTTTACGTGACTGCGGGATCAACGATGATGTATACACTGCCGCGGGAAATATTCATGATTTTGCCGAGATCGCAGACGACGACGATGACGTTTCCGTGACTGCGGGAGACGACGATGATTATGTCTACACGGCCGCAGATGCTTATGATTTTGCCGAGATCGCGGACGACGGCGCTGACGTTTCCATAACTGCGAGAGGCAATGATCATGTCTACACGGCCGCGGAAGATTTTCGTGATTTGCCATGACCGCGAAAGACGACGATGATGATTTCTACACGGCCGCGTGATATGCTCATGATTTTGCCGTGATTGCTGCCGACGACGATGACGTTTCAGTGACCGCGGGAAATGACGATGACGTTTCCGTGACCGCGAGATCAACGATGATGTTTACACCGTCGCGGGAAATATTCATTCTTTTGCCGAGATCGTGGACGACGACGATGACGTTTCCATAACTGCGAGAGGCAATGATCATGTCTACACGGCCGCGGAAGATTTTCGTGATTTGCCATGACCGCGAAAGACGACGATGATGATTTCTACACGGCCGCGTGATATGCTCATGATTTTGCCGTGATTGCTGCCGACGACGATGACGTTTCAGTGACCGCGGGAAATGACGATGACGTTTCCGTGACCGCGAGATCAACGATGATGTTTACACCGTCGCGGGAAATATTCATTCTTTTGCCGAGATCGTGGACGACGACGATGACGTTTCCGTGGCCAGCGAGGGACGGCGATGATTTAGACACGGCCGCGGGAAATATTCATGATTTTGCCGAGATCGCGGACGACGACGATGCCGTTTTCGTGACCGCGGGAGACGACGATGACGTTTCCGTTACCGCGGGAGACGACGATGACGTTTACGTGACTGCGGGATCAACGATTATGTATACACTGCCGCGGGAAATATGCATGATTTTGCCGAGATCGCAGACGACGACGACGATGACGTTTCCGTGACTACAGGAGGTAATGATGATGTCTACACGGCCGGGGCAGATATTAGTGATTTGCCGTGACCGCGAAAGACGACGATGATTATGTCTACACGGCTGCAGATGTTCATGATTTTGCTGCGATCGCGGACGACGACGATGACGTTTACGTGACCGCGGGATCAAAGATGATGTTTACACTCCTGCTGGAAATTTTCATGATTTTGCCGAGATCGCGGACGACAACGATGACGTTCCCGTGACTGCGGGAGTCAATGATGGTGTCTACACGGCCTCGGAACATATTCGTTATTTTGCCGCGATCGCGGATGACGATGATTACATTTCCGTGATCGCGAGAGACGGCGATAATGTATACATACCGCGGCAGATGTCCAGGATTTTTCTATGATAACGTAAGACTGTGATTACTTTTACGTCACTGTGGGAAGCGACCACACGACCGCAGAAAATATTCAGGATTTTGCCGCCGTTGAAAATGTGTTCATAAAAAATTAAGAT